GACGTACTGACATTATCAGGTCGCTCCTGGATGCGTGTACGTATACTTCCTTTTCTGGCCTCAAATCTTGCACGAACTTCTTATGTACTAGGATAATGAATTAAGTAGGATGGATAAGAACGTCCTTTGTTTTTTGTTATTTACATTGTCGACCTGCCTCTGTCGCAGGTGAGAATGGTAATGCTACAGAGGGTATCACGAGGGACAAGATATTGAATCAACCGGTTTTGGAGGAAGGAACTTTCTTGTTGTATGCCTCAAAGGTGAAGTACTTTTCCAGATATTTTATTTGTCATTGTTGGCATTTTATTTAGCATTTTATTTGGCATTGTTGCTATTCCAATTTTCATTCTTTTTAAATGCTTCTAATTGGATTATTAATAAATGTTTCTATTTGTGCTGTTTATATTTAAGACCAACCAAGTGGACATTGTGAGAACTCTTCTGAATTGTGGTGCTGATCCAGCTGTACAGAATGCTGATGGACATAATGCGGTAGACGTTGCCTCGAGTGATTCAATACGACGTATCTACATAGAGGAAATGTTAAGAGCAACAGCTGCTTCTGAGTACGTAAATATCAACATTCAATTTTATGGTTTCTTTTTTCAATTGTGAGATGTAACTATCATTTTAATCGTATTAATTAGCGTCACAGAACAATTGACACATACCTTTTTACAGAGTAGACAGAGTAGTGCAGTTGCTAGATGCAGGATTGGACGTTAATTCGTGGGACTCACAAGGTAGCAAGAACACACCATTGCATTGGGCAGCATGTTATGGGAACAAACACATTATCGCGTGTTTACTTGGTAATGTATAAACAGAATGTTTGCGCTTAAAGTTAAATAGGTATATATTTGATATTTGAAAAACGAGAAGAAAAGCTATAATTCAGTGCAGCAATAAAAAACTTATAATCAGCATCTGAAAATAACGTTCATATTACAATCTCCATGTAGATAAAGGAGCTGATGTAAATGCCGAAAATGGTTGCGGTGCTACACCATTACATGATGCAGTGAATCGTGGCGACATTGCTATCTGTCAAGAACTATTACAGGCTGGTGCAAATCCTCTTGTACGAGCTACCAAAGGGTGAGCGATTAATTGTATGGATATATTGTTCTTGCGCATGCAAACATATAACATTTCTTTTTTTTTTTCCAGAACATTTGCGGGAAAAACGCCGTACGAGTTGTCTAGAAAGAAACAATCTCTGCATTGTTTCCTTCAAAGATTTATATCAAATTTCATGCTGAACGAGAACGAAACAATACATAGTGCCACTATGTCGTACCCAGATCCAAGCTATTGCCAGAAGGGTCTCACGTGCAATATGAGCCAATTGTCGATCGAATCTAACAAGTCGTCGGATCCGGCGTACGATGTGCCTTCGCGTGATGCAGGCAAAGAGAGTCCTAGCAAATCTATTATTGATAAAGGAAGTATTTATAATTTGCTATGGCCACAGCCAAAGACTGTAAACGTACTAAAAAATTTTACGGCTTCGTTTATCGCTGGAAAAGAGCTTTTTATATCAATAATACAGGTAATATTCAGGTGGACATATGTACATTAATGTTTCTCATACATATAGAAAATCTTTTGAATCGCGTTTCTGTTGAAAGGGAGGGAAATTCCTTCAATTTTACAAATAAATTCTCATCTCCAAATTATTCTTATAGGGCAGCGAATCTGTACATAAAATACTAGATGTGTGGGAGATCAGCAGGACTCATCTGCTGGAATTGGATCATGATGTAAAGATCGGTGAAGTGCAACCTAGTTGCGGCAAGTTGCTCAATGATAATATGATTGAATGCATCGTGAATAGGAATCTGTTTAACATTGCGGATAGCTATCAATTGCATATTACGCACAACTCCATAAAAGTGAGCGCTGGAAGTCTAGCGGGGCTGCATTATGCGGTCTGTACATTCGTGCAAATTCTGCGTCTGAGTAAGAATCAGAGTAGGTCGGAAGTGTGCGAGATAGAACCTGTTTTCATCAAAGACGAGCCGAGATTTGCACATCGCGGTATACTGTTGGACATTTCGCCTAGAGGACGCGTACCGACCTTGGAATATCTTTTACATATTATTGATATACTCTCATCATTTAAGATCTCGCATTTGCACCTCTACTCCAGGCTCGTTCAAAATTGCGACTGGCAACTTTGTTATTCCAAGTCCGAGATGATAACTCTGGATAGATATTGCAGGTACAAATTACATATTTGTATAATTCTAAGAATTCACTTTTCAAATAAGAGAAGATTTCTGATTTTTTATAAACTGTATTATTTATATCATCACTCTTTTCATTGTGTCATTGTTTTTAATTGTGATCTTTTTACATATTTATTATATAATTTACGTTTTAAATGGAGAAATTTTTATGTTATGTCATTTGGAAATTTTTTCAGAGATCGTCATTTAGACATAGTTCCAACGTTGGACGTCGATTCTAATGTCAGCCAACATCACTTGATGCAAATGTGGCCTATTTTTCAAGACTTGCTCGCAGTATTTCCTAGCTTAAATTACGTTCACGTAGGCCCGCGATTAACCACTTTATTAGTGCAAGCTGATAGCTTCGACTTGAGTGTGTCCGTCAACGATACACTCGAAACGGACATGTCGGAAGTATTCAAATCTTACTCGTGCCTTCAAGAACTCTGGCACATCCTCAATTTAAGCTCGAACACGACTTTACTTTTATGTTCCAACAGTTTACATTCCAAATCCGAGTTTCATAATATTCCTACTAATATCATACTTGTCGAATATGGATTTCAGGTGAGTTAAATTTTTTCAATTTTGTATGATATACTTGCAGGAACAATTATTTAAGTAAAATTTACTATAAATATCTGGATATCACAGGCTGATTATGATTTCTCCGAATGGACGGAGCCATTTAGACTGGCTGGTGGTAATGTGTTACCAAGTTCTGGCACAGCTAGTTACAATAGTTTGGCCGGATGTCCAGCATCGACGTATGCTAACACCAGAAATGCGATAAAAACTTCTTTGGAGCAGAACTCGATCGGTGTCATTGTCGCACATTGGTCGGGAAGTCATCATCTTACTCCGCATCCTTTCGCGTGGATCGGTTATTTAATAGCGGCTGGTTTAGCTTGGAACTCAACAACGGAAATAGATTTAGGACCTGATGATAATTACGATATCCCTGAGTTGTCTGCATCAGTTAGGTAACTGTTACAAAATTTGCAATCCATGATATATTCATGCTCATAATATTTTATAAAATCGTTTCGTTTTGTAGAGAAAGATATATCACAAAATTATTGGATATACACGTGTTTCAAGATTCAGAATATAAAATTGGTAATGCGATATTGGAATTGGGACGTTTGGACACATTGGTACTAACATTAAGTAAAAATCAATCGGTCAAAGATCTGCAGCAAATACCAGATAATCGCGGTTCTACGTTATATAGATTACTAACTGATCCGGATAATGTTAATTTGGAGTATCTTTCGGCCGACCTATTCGCTGTAAGTACACTCTTGTACGTTCGCTTAATATATCTTAATATTTTAAGGATGAATAGCAAGCTAAGATACTCAGGTATTCCGAATTAATTCGCTATTATGTGTTCGTAGAAAATGACGAAGCAGATTAAACGAATATCTCATTCCTTGTATGAGGCGAACTTATCCTCCAAGTTCGCGTCTATGGAGATACAGGAATTACAATTGACATCCGATCTGATGCTGACAGCTTGTAAAATTGGTAGAACATTGATTGGAGTCGGTGTGAATCCGAACAGTAACATGGGACTCGCTGTTATTAATTTAGGAGTATGTAATCTCCCGCCCACTTTCAGGACCGATGTAGCAAACAAGATGTTGGCTCATATAGAACAGTATAAAGGCTCCTGGTTGCAAAGACATTTTCCACAGGGTCTCCAGGACTCATTGCTAGTTTTAACTAGTGCGCTGCATAGGTTTGTGCCGGCGACATAAGTTTTTTCTCTTTTTAAGCATACAAAATATTTAGTTTATACTGAGCAATCTACAAAGCGCAAATGTCTAAAAGACTTTTACAGGACACCTCTCTCGAACTTTTGTGTTGTTCGAGATTTTAATCGACAAAAGACTACAGTGTGCAAATATGATATACGCGGCAAATGAAACACATAATACATAGAGGATTTCAAAATATATTCGAGGAAAACCTATTGAGAGCAATATGTATTTTTATCCTTATATATTATCACTACTATTGTATGTTTGCTATGCTGTATTGTTTCTTAATATTAGCCAATTTATCCTCAAGATATTTTTGAAAAATAATATTTTATTAAGAGAGAGAAATATAATTTTATGCTAAGAAGTTTTGATTATAAAAAGAATGTTTGTTTTATTAAATATAAAGACATTTATTAATTACCTTTATTGTCGTTGTTAATTACATAATAATTCGGTGAGTCACGGCTGACATAAATAACAGCGAGTAATGTTTGAATATATTGTTTATTTTCATATGGACGTATGTGCAAATGCAGAGTTAAAAAATTCTCTTTCGCAATGAGGTAACATATTTTTTATATTACTAATAGATTTAATATAACTATAATGTATCTTATAAATAATATATATAGGTCATATACATAAATTATATCGCTCTATTGTAACAATTAATTATTATGAAGAATAATACTAAAACTTTTTATATATATACAATCTTTATACATATGATCGTTACTTAGACTGACTTAAGAATCGCGAGTTTTGCAGGATCTTTATCTAAATGCTTTTACCTTTTCAATATCACATAAGACAATAATTTTTAATTTTTGTCTTACATCACATACTTTCTTTTCATAAATATAGTTTATTTTATACATTTTAAAAAACTTTAATATTGCATCGAAAAATATTAGTTGAAGAATCATTCAAGCATTTATTACTTCTATTCATAAATTTGTTAATAAATTTGGAATTGAGCAGTAAATTCCTGTCAATTAAATGTATGTTTGCTTATATTTTAAATGCATTATAAAACAGAATTTGTTATATGTAACATGTTTCATCAGTATTAAATCTCCACACTTTACACCATTACTTACATTCATTTGTCAATGAACTATCGCTATTTATGAGATTGTTCCTATTTTGTTCGTTCCATCCACCCATCTCCAAATCTTGTTTGTGGAACATTTCTTTTTCGAGTGCTTGTAGCCTATAAAACTCATTGATCTCGAACTGATACTTGGGCGCTGTTATGCCAAAGAAATTGGCCAAGCATTCGCCAACGTAATCGCAACCATCCAACATTTTAGAGCTCAACCATGTGGTTTGGTACCATGCCCATGGTAACCAATTCATATTTTTCTACAAAATATGTATTGTTTTATCTTTTCATTGAATAAATATATAATATTATACATATATATATATATATATATACAATATAATTTTTAATTAATATGATTTATATAATTACAGTATCTATCTGTGACACAATTTTATTCTTTGGCGCGTCAACTTCATCTTCTGACGAATATTCCTCCATTACTCCATCCGAAAACTGCAGTATTCTCTTTGGCTTTTTACTTAATTTGCGTTTGCACTAGAAATCAATATTTAATAAAATTAAGCTGAATTAAATTTGTTAAATTTATAGAAAAAGGTCAAAGAAATTCTTCTGAAGGGTGTCAATAGTTAATATTTGTTAATAATTTAAATATTAATGAAATTAAATAAATTAAAGAAACACAAATCAAAATTTAAGATGAATTGTTATTATTAAGAATCTTCTATTCTAAAAAACTATTTTCAATATTTAATCTGAAGATTATACTATAGAAAACATTCAGTAAATTTGTATAGAAATCAGCATTAGAATGTGATAACAAATATTTGTGTGCTAACAACTCAGAAAAACTTTGGGTTTAGAGAAGATTCATTTGTGAAAATATATTTTTATCTTGGAGATCAAGCTGTCATCTAAAGCAAAACTATACGATTCCGCTAAAGGTTGCTTGGAAGGTTAAATGGAACGAAACACGTATGTCTCGGTGTCCGGAGATTTATCTGAATCTACCTACAATCTTACCTGCGTCTCGGTGTCTGAATTATCCTGTAGAATAACGTCGCTCAGATCCCTAGCGTCATCTCTCTCCGATGCCATTGTGGGCCGTATCTTACGGTAAGCAAAGCCTCTTTTACCGTGTCGCACCCTGATGACTCTCGTCAGTATGTTGAGCAAACTCTCTCTCCCCTCACCGGCCAGATGACTCATTCGAGACGAACGAGGCTTCGAAAGAAACGGCACAGCATCGTGATCCCATTGGTGCTGCCGATTTGGCGGTTCTTCTGTTGATCTATCTGCGGCCGGGCTGGGCAAGCAGAGCACGTTGGGCTCATCTAGAGACCCTTGCTGCTTTCCAGCAATTGAGATACATTTCATCTTTGTTTAACATTGGCAAATAATAGGGATTACCGTATTATATTGTATTATTGTCTCATTTTCTTGCTAGAAAGCAATCCTTAATTGAGGGAATGGACGAAATAAAGGCACAATTCTACTTCGGCCCTTTTTCCAGCAATTAGTCTTTTCATGTAATATTGATCGTAATAGAAAAATATTGTAACATGTAACTTCTTAAAGACATTACATAAATTCATTCGATACTGTACACATTTGTGTATAATAAAAAAGTAGCAAGTTATTTTAATTTTTATTAATATCAAGATTTTACAATTAGGCCTTTATTCCACCCATCCCCTTAATTATAACAGAGTCTGATGATTTTGATTGTGTTCTGTGAAGCGTATATGATGCACATAATTCATCATTTTATTTTTGTTGTCACTGAATGTTAAACAAGGATAAAATGATACATTATTATGCACAATATATGCTTTACGAAACTAGGGCCGATTCTCGCTCACAACGCTTAAAAATCATTTCATCCTTTGTCAAATGTTGAACGAAGACAAATAATGCTCATGAGCATTATCAGCATGAATCGGACCACGGCCTAGGAGTTTATTAAAATAATCTACGAGAGAGAGAGAGAGAGAGAGAGAGAGAGAGAGAGAGAGAGAGAGAGAGAGAGAAACATGTTTTATACACAAAGAGAAAAATGTTTGGTATTTGTAACTATAATTATATATTACTATAATTATGATTATTACTGCTATAATAATAATAACAGTAACTATACATATAGTTCCAGCAACAAATGTATATAGTTGGCAACCTAAAATGACTATAATTATATTTATAGTCACTTGAATCATTTTTATGGTAATTTCAACTATTTTATGGTTATAACAACTATAATTATAATCATTTTAGGTTGCCAACTATATACATTTGTTGCTGGAACTATATATATAGTTACTGTTATTATTATTATAGCAGTAATAATCATAATTATAGTAATATATAATTATAGTTACAAATACCAAACATTTTTCTCTCTGTGTACTATTTCCCTTTAATTTATACTGTCTCACTCTATAATTTTAATTAAGATTATACCCAAATAGCAAAATGATGTCAAATGACGTCTTCATAACGTTTTAATGACGTCTTTAACGCCAATAAGACGTCATTAAAACGTTGCCTTGCTATCTGGATAGATGCCTTCCATTTAGTGACGCAGTCAACACAAATATTGTTATATTGTCTTTCTTTGCATTCCATGAATAACAAAGACAGAACAATATTATTGTGATGACTTATCATTTAAATGGAAGGTATCTTATATAGAGTGAGATGGTACGAGTAGAGTGAGATAACATATATAGAAGGAAAAGATATTTATACTTTTTTTGATTTATACTTTTCTCTCGTAAGATTTTAACAAAATCGTTCTTGGCCAGACTCTTTGGGTTTGGGTGCGTTTCATTTGACGATCACAACGTTCATGGAATCGTTTCATCCTTGTTGTTTATCAAATATTAAACAAATAATGCTGGCGAGCATTGTGAGCACCAAATGAACTCACCCTTCAATATATAGGGTTTCTCTTTAGGCTCACCATGGCGTGTCGCTTTTTGTATTCGAAAATGCCATTTCGCGAAAGATTATTCAGGATCTCGAGTAGAATTATATTCCTTTAACTGATACTCTCCCAAGTCTCATTCACCCACTGGTTCTTATAAAATTATAGGTACATATCGTACATGCGCGGCTGCAACTGGCATGAATCGCAACATTCGAGGCGGAAAAATAACGTGGAATTATACGAGGGTGCGGACACACGATAGATGGAATAGATAAGGATTTACGATTTCAACCTATCAGAAACTGTATTCTGATGTATCCAATTAGATAATATACACTTTATGTATGTTCATTTTGAACTGGCACTTTTATTAATAATATATCGGTTACTTTTCATAGTAATATATTATTTTAGATAATCATTTAAATTTTTGAGGATCTTTTTTTGAACATGGCCTTTTCATTTTTATGATTTTTTATAGATAATCCAATTTCTACCTAATACTCGTTCTTTATAACCGTCAAAAAGTCTTTAAATTCTTCCTTCTATCTTATCGCAGATAGAGAAAATCCGTTAGTCGATGATTAACTCATTTTTATCTTTCCGATAATAACATTTATCATTTTAAATGGAACGAATTTGCAGTTCATTTATGTGCGTTACGAATAGAATGAAAAGAAACAAGAGAAAAAAATTTTAAAGGGACTGTTGATTCAAAAAGTCTATAATACTTTGTAATGGTCTTTTTTTATCCGGCTAATAAATAATGATATTTATTAATTGTATATACATCCCAGACAGCACAGAATATTTATGATAAATATTTATTAATGTTCTTTTTTTTAAGTGTTATATAGACATTTTATACATATTTTATATAAAACTTTATTCGAAATATTATTAAAATATAGACTAAATATTTTATGTAATATTTATGATAAATGAATATTTCTAATAAGTATTTCTTATTTGGATTATATATGTCTCATTAAGTATTTTCATAACATTTATTATAATATTTACAAACATTTTATATTTATAATAAACTTTTATGGTCTGTGCAATCTAAGATCACAAAAATATTTACAAAATATTTAAAATAAATCTTATAAATACTTATAAATATCTTGTAAATATTGTGTGTTGTTTGGGATATATAATATTACATATCGCTTATTTGTTACAACAATAGATATAACAAAAATTGTCAAAAACACAAAGAAAGGAAAAAACATACTTTAAAAGAATATTCGATTTAAATTTTTCTATAATTAATTATTACAGTAAAACTGCGCATCAAAATTAACATTACATTTTTCTGATTAAAAAATTTTTATAATATAAAATTTTAACAATTTAAACAATTTCTTTTTTTTTTAATAGTATCGTTATTTTAGCAAATGAACAATATATTGTCATTATATGTTGTATTGTATATATGACAATATATTGTTCATTTGCTAAAATAACGATACTATTAAAAAAAAAAAGAAATTGTTTAAATTGTTAAAATTTTATATTATAAAAATTTTTTAATCAGAAAAATGTAATATTAATTTTGATTTATTATATACAATATAATAAATTGTATTATATATATAATAATATTTATTATCATTATTGAAAGAATTATGTGGTGTGAAGTAATCAATAAAGGGACAAAAACGGTCGATAAGATTGACTTCCCTTTCCCTTCGGTATTCGTATTCCGAGACACATTTCTATTGGCGGACACGGGGCAATCGCTCGAGACCTCGTGCGATTCTCGAATCCTGCGAGTTCTGACGTCGAATGGCGACGGCAAGGCTGCTAACACGACGGACGGTGGCCAGCAAGTTCAGACCTCAAACCGTCCGAAACAATTAAACGGAACGTAGCGCGAAGTGGCTGGGCATCCGGGAATGAGCTTGTGACGTGTTCCGAGGCCTGGGAATCGATTGCGGAGTTGTCGCAGCGAGCTCCTACGGTCTCTCACGGCGGTGCATGCGGGAGGCGCGTCGGAGGTGCCGTTAATTATGTGAAAGAGACAAGGAGCACTGCCTCTTGGTGCGGCAAAGGTGGGACACGTATCCCTCACGTCGCGTCATGTTCCATCACGAGTATGAGAAACGGCTGCTGAAGCCGGGGAGCACCGACGTGTCGACGGGGACGGGCACGGCAACGTTGCCCGGCACCACTGTCGCCACTTATTCGCCCATCTACTTCTCGCCCACGAAGACGGCGTACAACAACAGCTACGACCGCTTCATACCCACCCGTTCAGGTAATAACTGGCAAACGACGTTTTCTATGATCAGCGAGAATGGCCGGGGCGGCCTGGTGGCGAAGAAGACACGAGAGAATGGCGAGGGTAGCCGTGACGGTATCGCCTATTCCTGTCTGTTGAAGAACGAGCTGCTCGGAGCAAGCATAGAAGACGTAAAAGGCCAGTGCGAGGAGCGCCGGGTACTCTCGCCGTTAGTCACCAAGAACCTCTTTAAGTACACCACTCCCACCAAGGATCGGACCCTGCTGGATCAAAGTTCACCATACTCCTTATCACCGCTTAGTGCCAAGAGTCAAAAACTATTGAGATCTCCCAGAAAGGCTACCAGGAAGATTTCGAGAATACCCTTTAAAGTGTTAGATGCTCCGGAGCTGCAGGATGACTTCTATCTAAACCTGGTCGACTGGTCCTCTCAGAATGTTCTCAGCGTTGGTCTGGGAAGTTGCGTCTACCTGTGGTCAGCATGCACCAGCCAGGTGACGAGACTCTGCGATCTGTCCAGCGATGGCAACAGCGTCACCTCAGTCGCCTGGAACGAGCGTGGCAATCTAGTGGCAGTAGGTACGCATATGGGCTACATCCAGGTCTGGGACGTAGCAGTGAACAAACAGGTGAGCAAGCTACAGGGCCATAGCGCCCGGGTGGGAGCCCTGGCATGGAACGGTGAGGTTCTCTCATCCGGCAGCAGGGACCGGTTGATACTGCAGAGAGACGTGAGGACGCCGTGTGTTGTCGGTGAACGGCGACTCGGTGCCCATCGGCAGGAGGTGTGTGGCCTCAAGTGGTCGCCGGACAATCAGTACTTGGCATCTGGCGGCAATGACAATCGGCTCTACGTGTGGAATTTACACTCCCTCTCCCCCATCCAGACGTACACCGAGCACCTGGCGGCGGTGAAAGCGATCGCCTGGTCACCTCATCATCACGGCCTGCTGGCGTCCGGCGGTGGCACCGCCGACCGTTGTATTCGCTTCTGGAACACGTTGACCGGCCAACCGATGCAATGTGTCGACACTGGCTCACAGGTCTGCAACTTGGCATGGAGCAAGCACAGCTCTGAGCTAGTCAGCACGCACGGTTACTCGCAGAATCAAATTCTCGTGTGGAAATATCCGAGCCTCACGCAAGTGGCCAAGCTCACCGGACACTCGTACCGGGTGCTCTACCTGGCGATGTCGCCCGATGGCGAAGCGATTGTTACCGGGGCGGGCGACGAGACTCTGCGCTTCTGGAATGTATTCAGTAAGGCCCGCAGTCAGAAAGAAAACAAGTCCGTGCTGAATCTATTCACGAGTATCCGATAAATAATGGACTGCACTGGTCATCGTGGTAGAGCCTCGCGAAACGTCTTTTATTATGTATTTTGTACATATGCATACACACTATCTATCGTCAAATACATTTATCGTAGAATATTCTAAAAGAATTATATATACATATATGTATACACTTATATAGAAACATATATATATATATATAAATAACTGCGTTAGAGGTACTAGAAGAAACACATTCTTAGAGAATTGTATAGAGATAAGAATTACGCGATGTTCCCAATATATAGGATAAGTCCGCGAATTTGTCGCGTAGTCTACGACATGTTGAGTACTTGTGTGCAATACTCGTCGCTATTCTCCGGTACTTCCTAAGGAAAGAAAAATAAAAATGCATGCCGGAGACTATCGCTACGAGACGCTCTATATTTTTTATGCACTTTATATACACTTATTTTTATATGTCGCTACTCTATAGAATTATAAATTTTTTATAATTATTTTTTATTATTTTTGAACGTATTATTTCATTCAGAAATTTGTTTTTTTAATTAACGAGACAGTCGATCGCAGCTATCAAGAATTTTCTCAAGAGAAATCTCCAGATTTGCCCCTAGATTTGTAATTAAAATTTAAGTCGTTCCAGGACACTCTGTACAACGCGCTTGCGTTTTTCTATTCTATTTTGCATCTTACGTGACCACGATGTTGGAGCACACACAATCTATATCTTGCTGTACCTACGAATGGGAATTTACAGCGATGATCTATTATGCATTTCATAAATTTGTAATCGCAGTTCTCTCTCCTTTGAGAGTGTATTTGATCACTGGGTTTCCGCAACTTTTCGAAATGTCCTTGGAGATATCTGCAGACTGACTAGACTCTGAAAGAGAAAAAAGTAAAGTCTGCGAAATTCTAAAAAGGCTGTCTCGTACTTTTGCTACTGCTTGACATTGTCCTGCTGTTCCCAATGTGCTCTATTAGTCATTCTAAAAAAGGGATTTGTTTCTACGGAACAACTTTTCTGTCACATTCTTCTATAACTAATGTTAATTTATAGTTTACGCTCGGAAAACTGTACAAATTTAAGTTGAAACGTGACTTATATCATGCGAATCTACTAATTTATATTATAATAAGAAGAATATATATATTTAATATATCGCATTGATATATCTTACGTAATGTTATTCGAGAAGAAATAATTGAGAGTTGATAAGAAAATTGTATAATTGAGAAAATCTACGTGTAGTTCGCAGACATATACGCATATTTGCGTAATCTATTTTTCGCGATACCGTATATCGTACGTTCGAGTACACGAGTATGTAATAAAAAAGAAATAGGAAACTGAAATAAAAAAACTATATATATATCGAGAAACTGAGATATTAATTCTCAGCGAGTGATGATTATTTCGTTTATAATTCACCGAATGCGAATAATCGATGATTGTCGTATAACATTATACGTTATGATCTAGTAATATGTATAAAATATTTTTATACAATAATCACTATTGTGTCGTTAGACGAAATGCGTTACACGCCTACGACGCTTTGCTCGATTCACTTCGTTACGGCGATTAATCAGAAAGATGAACCGGAAGTAAAAAAAATAAGGGGAATGCAAATTGTTGCATTAAGTCCTACATGTGCATTCTATGTGCGCCAAGCAGGATCTGAGTTTCTTGTAATAAGGTATCTACGAATAGAGATGTTTCCTCAAAGTTTCTATGCAGCATCGTTCGATACGTGACGTGTAATTAAAACGAAATGGAAAAACATTTTGTTTTCCACAATAGACTCCAAAAAGATGTATACATATATATATGATTGTAAACGATATCAGATCTATTAAATATAGTGCGCGAAAGAAGATATCATCAAAATAGACAAATTATATGAGATATTTGATAGAACTAGTAAAATCATAAGTCATTATTTTAAAAAATTATAAAATACAATTGCTGTTTTACATATTAAAATAAGGCAAGAGATAAATGAGACGACAAATGTACATAGATCAAAGTCTGCTAGTCAAATTTAGTCAGAATTTTTGCGGATTCGCGATACTGATGACATTTTCTTTTTATGAATGTATATATAAGTGTAACGTTTTTCTTTAAATAATATTTCTATTTTTTCGAAATAAGCATATTTTAAAAGTAAAATAAGTAAAACTAAAATTCCTTCGCTTACAAACAACATTGCTTCTATGATTCTATACTATGAATTAATAATCACTTATTGTATGCATATCTTCTATTGAGCTGATATTTGTAGAAATTATATCGTTTACGCACGTGAATTATTTAAATTTTTTAAATTAATATATATATTTTTTTGAAAGATACACTCTTTTTGGACGAAAATGTATAAATTCTAAAGAATATATATTGTGGAGATCTATCGCGAAAGTTTTCAACTGACTTTCATGATTTAATCGTTAAATCTATGATGTATTGCTCTATCAGACACAACATCTGTTGTCACATATATGCATCAAGATTTAATAAATATTGATACTTATATGAATGTATAATGTAAAAAAATATATAATGAGGTATTACTTTTTTGTAAGTTATGCGCTAATATCTAATATACTTATAACATAATCGGCTTTCGATTTATGATCTTAATTGCGTGCAATCGTCTCGTGGAAGATCTTTATAATTTCTTATTCTATTATTTTTGTGCGAGTTGTTATTCAAATGCAATTCTGCTAATTATGGCAATTGAAAATATCTGATGAAATATCTCATTCTTGCAAAAGAGATACGTATTGTAAGATATTTAACAAATCAGTTTTATATCTATCATTAATTTGATGACAATTATAAACGAATTCTGTCATATATGATCATACTTGTACAATATTAATTGTAGCTTATATTTTTTTGGAAAAATATAAAATCATGAGTCAAATTATCTATTAATATACATACTATATGCAAAGCGCATAATTATTTCAGCTATTATGTAACTGCCTGCAAGTCAGATAAATAAGTGTTAGAATAAAATATTTAGTAAACCTTCAGATGTATTCGCGTATCATGGGTTAAATAAAGTAATTCTGTTATAAAAATGTCATGGTTCCAAGTTTATCTTGCATAAAATTAATATAAGCAATTTCTCTCCTTTTCTGCAATTACATGCCTCTCCTCCTGCTAGTAAAACAGCAGACTAATTTCTTATCAAAATTTTTAGGATTATAATATTTTATGAAAAATTGATATTTAGGGAATGTTGAATTTTTCTATGAAAAAAATGAATCGTTTGCATAAATGAATGCATAAATGTATTTATGAGAAAACTATACAATATTTTACATGAATCCTTTTAATATATATAGAATATCGATGCTCAGACGAAGCTATCTCGTTTAAGGATCCTATTCGCCAACTTTAATTTTTAATTAAAACACGGTCCTGAGAAAAAAATACTTCGATAACAAATCTCAGATTTCTCTAGCTTTTTTACTCTAGCTTTCATACTTAATTAAAAATATTTTTATTCTTAATACCTGTTTATATAGGATTATTCGAAATGATTGTCGAGGTTTCAATTTTTTGTATAAATAATGCATTTAACATTTATAACCATACTGAGAGATAGATAGTTTGATTCGAACCTTTCGCTATTCAGTAGCTCATGTGTTTAAACCCTTGTATATCATATTGGCCAAATTGTTCAATGTAATTTATTAATTCCTTCTCCATCTGAAATCTTAGAGCGATTTCTATCATCGTGGATACAAGATTTAAGCTACTGAATGGCGACAGATTCGGAACAAAATTTCATGAGATTTGCTATCTATAGGCCTGTTCTTTTTAGCTGAACTTCTGACGCGGTTCATCTTTCTTCCTTTTCTCTCCACGTTGGAGAAAAAAAAAAGAAAAGATGAACGGTCCAAGAAATTTGGTTAAAAAGAACGAGCCTCGTACGTCTATAATTGTTCTTCTATATCTCTACGTTAAATGTCACAAAAAAATTAATTGAGAGATACCACAAGCTTCAAGCTTAGCGCGGAGTATAAGGTAAAGCTAAAGGCACGGTTAAGAATACTTGAGGCGAAAAATATGCGTCGATAAGTGGAAATCTAGACAATCATTTTAAATAACCCTGTATATATGTAAAAATTTAATATAGAAACTTGTTTTTTATCCTATAAGCCGCAACACAGACTTTTGCATAAAGCTGTATAACGTAAAGGCATAAAGCAAGAAAATTAATTAATCACAATATGAAATGGAGGATTTTAATTAGTTGATTTTCTTATGTCTTGTCTTATGCGTTACGCAAAAGTTTGTGCTGCGGCCTTATCTCTTTCTGCGTATCCTATTCAAATTTAATCTTGCTTTGATTTCTTTTTTTTCTTTTTCTTTTTCTCGCTCAAAACTGGTTCCTCCACCTCTTCAGCAGATACTATTGTTTGCTGCATCTCCTCGCTTTCTTTTTCCTTTTTCTTCTTCTTTTTCTTCTTTTCTGTAAATAAAAATGATAAGTTCTTACTTGGACGGCTATTTTATTATTTATTACAAAATTGCGCGATTTAATAGATTAAATCTGCTTAATTATACGAGTCTAACAAAGACAGAATTTAATTAATTAGAATGTTAATTACAGATTTGAAATTATAGAAATCTGTTTTTAAATCTTCAAATATCTTGTAACTACAAAGAGAGATTGAAACTTGTACATATTTTCTAAATGTCTACATTTTTTGCAACATTATTTTTAAATTGTTTTCTAACCGAATCAAGATATTTAATAGTGAAATATAAAAACTGAAGATCAATTGTTATTCAATATTTATTTGATACCTTGTATGTGCATTTTTCTTTTTATAATTACCTTCACTTGTTCCAGCTTCAACTGAAACATCTGCTTCAAATGTTTCCTCAGTTTTTACAGACGCTGCCTCTTCAAGTTCCATTGGTTCCTTCTTTTTCTTCTTTTTCTTCTTCGATACAAGATCTGAACCTGCTTCAACTTGCACTTCTTCTTTGATACCAGAAGCTTCTGCTGTGTCCTCTGTTTTGGGTTCTAAACTATGTTTCTTCTTTTTCTTTGGAGTAACAACTGTTTCCATTTCCACTTGTGCACCAGAAAATTCTCCTTGTTCTATATTAGATTCTAGACTATGTTTCTTCTTTTTCTTAGACACAATAGTCGGCTCCGTCTTCACTTGTTCCTCTTCTTTAACATTAGAAGCTTCTGCTGTATCTTCTGTTTTGGGTTCTAAGCTGTATTTCTTTTTTTTCTTTGGAATGTCGGATTCTGTCTTTGTTTGTGCACCAGAACATTCTCCTTGTTCTATATTTTGTTCTAGACTATGTTTCTTCTTTTTCTTCGGTACAGTAACCAATTCTATTTCCGTTTGTGGTTCTTCCTCCTTCATTTCCTCCTTGATCTGTTCAGAACTCGTGCTATGTTTCTTTTTCTTCTTTTTAGGCATTTCCTCGCTCTCATTTGTTTCAATCTCTTCGATTAATGGCCTCTTCTTAGTCGGCAGTGTCGAGTCTACAGACGTTGAATACTGCATGTATTCATTCTTGACATGATATTTTTCAAATTTGGCCTTTGCTTTGGCGGTGCCACTTATCCGACGGATATTTCCTTCTTCAAGCACTCTTAACCGTGCCTCCAATTTCATTTTGTGCTCCGCGCCAAGTTCAAAGTTTGTAGTATCTCCTAATGCATCAACTCTTGTTGCTAGAGAGGCTTTTGCTGCCAACATTCTGGATATTTTACCCTTGTTTTTGTTTGAGGATTGTCCGACAAGTTGTGAATGATAGATCAAACCATACTTGGGTGTGTTCTTCTTTGTTTTAAGAGCACGGAACAGTGCCTTCTCTGCACCGAGAATTTGTAAAGTAGATGCTGGATGTTTGGCAAGACTTGTCAGAGAACCGGCCTTAGATATCAGACGTGCACCGATCAGATCGCCAACAAGAACTGTCAGGTTTGGCGCTAATGCCATCATCCTAGTCTTCAGATAATCACACAGCTGAGACCGGTATTGATGAAGCTCAAGTATTTCAACACACAAGCATTGCATGTGTTCAGCGTCGTATTCCGAGATCTCTGACCCCATCGAGATTTCCGCGGCCGCCTTCACTCTCTCCTCGACTTCCTCTGTCAGAATATCCGACAGATCACATTTGACAGCGTTTTCTCGTTGGCCGACTATATGCATTGTCTTTATATACTGAAGATTGTCAGTCACGATTTTGCCTAGCTCAGGAAAGTGCCAGCCATACCATTCGCGTGCTCGCATTATGTAGTTATTGAGCTCCTTATCTAGATCATCCAGCAAGCACACTGCCTGTATTACCATGGTATCGACCTTGTCGGGTGAGAACTTCAGCTTGTATCTGGAAAGACTATGGGCCAGGCCCAGCGTCATGGCCGTCCTCTCCTTGTCGGTCACCCCACTTATCAGACCATCCAGTTGACTTCTGATGCATCTCATCAACTCCTGCACCGCTGTGTTGCTTACACAGGATAACTGCAGCTTATCCTTAATGGCACAGCCCAGCTTGGCATCGGCTACCGCCAGCTGTTCATGGGCCTCGATGCAGCAGTTCCTGAGTGTTTTCTTCAAAGATTTGGATAACTTGCTGTTTACAAGCGCCGTAGCAGCGCATAATGCTTCGGTGGTGTCCTCAAACTTGTGAAAGTACGTTAGCTTAAGTCTGCAAAACAAAAAGTATATAAGGACCATAATACACCAAATAAAATAGTACAACTGGCTACAGAAAGTAATAGGTTTGTTTTTTACTGTTACATAAAACATATATTTATTTCATTTTAAATATAAAAAGTGTACACTAGTTCAGTTATAAAAAATAGATGTATAGGTTCTTAAAAGAAAAACTTACAATCTACTAGCGGCTTCGGGAGTCTCAAAGTCCTTATGAAGATTCTCCGACTGGGCGAGTTTATTTTCGTCTAGGATCTACAAGCAAATTGTCATTTAAATTCTAATATGTAATATTATCATTAAACAATCTTGTTGTATACGCGATACTTCTGATGGGAAATAAAACGAGGCCAACACGTGCGCGTTCACTTAGGTTAGGAGGTCCGGCGTTTCGGGTAAATTCGAACTTACCTTGAATATCGCGTAGCCCGCCGACGTCTCGAATAGCACCAACATGATTGCTGCGTTTTTTTCACGACTTAACGATTGTAACAATTAGTTTCATACAATTTTCATGCCAACAAATGAATGTAATGTCCACGCCACATCCACACTTAATCCACGCCGATTGCCGGAACAGTCGGAACCACAGTATAGGTTAATACATGATGTAAGGACACCAGGTGTTCCATTGCGCATAATGGCGATAGCAATACTGGAAACAACCAATCACATTTTTGCCTCAATGCCCTTTCCTGCGTATAATAACGCTTGGCATATTGGAATAGCCAATCAAATTTTTGCCTCAATTCACGCTGCTACTGCGTAACCACGGGAATGGAACACCTAGGTTTGTTCGCGTCGCAAACTCCAACATGATCCCATAGTTCCTACTCACTCTATCAAGCGCATTAGAGTGAGTAAGAGCTATGGTAGGAGCATATTGGAACATGTTGGAGCATGCGACGCGAACAAACCACTGGTATCTTTACATCGTAGGTTAAGCGGGGAGCACAGACTCTTGCATAACGCATGACACATAAAGCATAAGAAACCAATCAAAATTCTTTATTTCATGGAAAGAAAGGAAACGAAGGACTTTGATTGGTAAATTTTCTTATGCATTACGTGTTATGCGTTATGCATAAGAAAATGTAAAGGCCGTAGCACAGACTTTTGCATAACGCATAACGCATAGTGCATAAGCGAATCAACTAATCAGATTCTTTCTTTTCCTTCCATTCCATGGAAAAGAAGAATTTCAATTCGTCGATTCCCTTATGCACTATGCATTATGCGTTATGCAAGAGTCTGTGCTGCGGCCATAAGGGTGCAGTCCCATGGAGCGTATCGCGGATCGCGCGTATCGAAAATCTGACCAATCGCGGACGTTCCGCTGTTTTTGATGCGCGAAAGTTTCGTTCCTATGGTCCCATGGAGCGGAATTCGAGTAAGCGGATCAGGCGAATAGTCAATCATAAAACGAGTTTCGTTATTTTTCTTTATTTGCCTTCATCTAAACAGTTGTATGATTGGTAAACCGCCGATCCGTTTACGTTAATTCCGCTTCATGGGACCATAGGAACGAAATTATCGCGTATCGAAAATAGCGGAACAAAACTGACTTCTGCGGACGAATTACTGTAGGACCGCAGAAAAAAGAGGATAGCCGCAAAAAGTATAACCATATTGTGTAAGTAAATTTTATTAAATATTAATTTATTTAATATAATTAAATTTTTTAAAAAATAGAACAATTGAAGGGCTAAGAGCCAGTTATGTAATAAAGAACGTTTAATTTAAAACATAAAGATAATTAAAATAATCATGATTATAACATTTCATTTTGTTTTATATTTACAGAGTCTTTTATTATTTATTATTTTTATATACGCGGTCGAAATGAAGCGTTATAATCATGATTATTTCAATTATAATATCTTTATTAAATGTTCTTTATTACATAACTGGCTCTTAGCCCTTCAATTATTCTATTTTGTTTTATACACTTACAGTCTTATTATTATTTATTAAATTAAAAAATTCGCAATGGTTTAACAAGTGTAGAATAAAATAAAAAACAATATTGCTTTTGTTGTTATTAACAAAACGTCTAGACCACAACCACAATGCTTTCATCAAGCAGGAAATATATCATAAAATTATTAAAACATATGAGCTTTATTCTATATTAAGAAAAAGTGAGAACAAACCTATTAATAGAAGAAAACGAAAATATTGGGTCAGTCGAATATTTACTATTGAACGATGGTTAGCACAAGGAGCAAGCAATAATCTCGTTAATGAACTGGAGCAACAAGATCGTGAATTCGTGAATCGTGAAAGATATTCACTGTCTTCTTTTTTATTTCAACTTCTTCTTCTTTGAGTTTAAATGACTCAGGTTCTCGTTGACGAGGTAAACGCAGCTAGTCGTACAAGGCACAATTGAAACCGGTAACGCTTTCCAAAAAATGATGCAACACTCGACGCAATCTTGTGATTCTACGCATATCACATCTCGAGGGCTGCCATATGACACTATTTCTTTAGACCAAGCGATTTTACTTAAATTCGGCGCGTATTACGCTACAATAATGGATTCGGCAGAACGGCGTCGTATCGAAAATAGCGGAACGTCCGCGATTGGTCAGGTTTTCGATACGCGCGATACGCTCCATGGGACTGCATCCTGCGGCCCTACGCACAATGGAGGAAATATTAGGAACAGGAATAGATATTAAGATTTCAACCTATCAGAAACCGTGTATTCCGATGTAACTGGTATTTGTTAGGTTAAAATCTTAATATCTATTCCTGTTCCTAATATTTCCTCTATTGTGCGCAGGGCCTAACTGGCTGGAACCCGGAACAGCAGAACACCGGAATACGGCCGAAACCATGGTGTAAGAAGAGAAGGTGAACCAACCGGCGATGCACAGAAACGCATCTTTTTAACCAATCAGAAAACTGCCCAAAATGTTAAAAGTCAAGATGGCTGTTTCCATGATGCGCGAATAGGTTAGATCTTTCTGTCGACAGTTACCTTAGCGAGCAGTCGAGCACGCAGAAAAAGTTTTTATTATTCAAAGAGTTTATCATATAACGATTTAAACGAGTAGGTCAACGATAATATAAAAGTATGGTCGGTTGTGCCGGGTACCAGGCCTCTGTGCGCACATAAATCGTTTTCTTCCTTTCTCAAATCGTTTATCAGGGTAGGAAGATCAGTATCCGCAAATCCATGTACTGACCTATCAAAAGCAATGTTATTAATTATCTCTTTCATCTTGTAAAGCCCAGTGTCCACGATGCTAGAAATCCGTCCGAGATCTCGGATGAAGAAAGAATTGACCAATCGCATTGATCATGTGACTAAATTATTTAAATGTGATTGGTTAATTCTTTCTCTCTCCGAGATCTCGGACCAATTTCTAGCATCGTGGACACAAGGCTTAAGACACGCTTAAATTACCTTCCATGGATATAAAAGCCATAATAATTATGTGCCAATATGAACACACTGATGTTCGCGATCGAGCATAGATCTGCGAACTTCTGCAGTCTGTTTCTAATGTATCTCTCGTAAAACGTAAAACGGATCAACCATTGTGAGAGATATATAAATATGTACATGAAGGTGCAAATCGCGAATTGCAGCGTAAAATTGTTCTCCGTTTCGGATGATGTATTCGAGATGGTCGATTCCGGTATCGCTAACATCCACGATTCCAAATCGAATATCTAAAACGATGTAATTATTCAAATTTTATTGTGTTGTGGATGAAATTAGATTTCTTTTTTTTGTGTCAGCTGACCTGCAGGAAACAGAGTGTAAATCGATTGCAATGCTACATTTATCCTTCTTCTGGTTTGCAATTTGCATCACTCGTTTGCGATTAAGTAGATTCTCCAAATGCTGATTGGAAAATCGTGTACCTAACTGCGTTCGGTTGTCTCCTGCAAAGGCACGATCGAACAAATGGAAGAAAAATTCGGCGTGTATTTTTCAATCAAAGAAGAGTTGAACATTTCATTGGGGCTCGTGTTCTTGTTCGTCCTATGCGATCTTCTTCGTTTGGACGCGATGATGTCCGATATTATTCTCGAAGATTTACCCTCACCCTTTGGAAATCTGTTGGAATACAATTTCTGTAAAGAAGTACGCGGGGAGTCGTACTTCGGTTGATCGTGTATCGTCCTCTGTTGATTCCCAGTCGATGAAAAACACGCTCAAATCCCAATGCTGATAGACGAACCCTATTATTTCTGCAATCTAAATGAAAGAAACAAAAATGTTGGGTGCTAAATTTTATGGGTCCTGCCCTAGATAGTCGAGAGGTTCAAGTTTGAACCGTAGCTGAGATGTTTTTCTCAATAAATTCTTTGCAGTATGCTATTAGTATTGTTAAATTAATGATCAATAACTTGTAAATTTCATCAAGTTTTATGTAGTAAATTGGAATCGTTGACATATTTCTCTTAATTAATTTTAGATAAAACGTCACGTTGCTTTACTTTAAAACTAAATGCTATGGTAATGTTTGTTCGGATTTCTTCATTATCTTCGTTGGGAAGAAGAACTATGTTGCAGTAAAGTGCAAACATTGTGATAAGACGTACAGACAGTCTCCAAAAATTGTATGACTGTTACATTTATACCATAAACAAAATATTTGATGAAAAAGAAAAATTAAGGTGGGAAAATGACAACCACTCGATATGAATACATTTCAATAAAACGGATTTATATTTCGCAAATCAGATTACGCATTGAAGATTGAGATTGAAGATTGAAATTTGACCAATGAGGGCAAAGGAATTTTAGCTCTTATTGTTTTGATTGGTCAAATTTCAATCTTTCAATCTTCAATCTCAATCTTTAATACCTAGTCCGATTCCGGCCTAATTGGAGTCGTCGAGTGGCTTGCTGCTCGGTGCGATGGACTCGTGATCTGTAGATCCAGGTTCGATCCCACCTGCGTCCATATACGCGTTTAGGAAGCCGAAAATGGCTCCTCCAACTATATCAATTAATAATATATCTCAATAATATACAAAATTAATATAATTTTCGGAAAACACATGTTCTGCAATGTTTGTTTATGACATTTACTATTTCTTGAAAATGCTTATTTCTTAGATGGAGCTTTAATTCTGTTGTATACACGTGATGAGTTTCATAATCGCAAAATGTACATTATGCGACTTCATCTAAGAAATAAGCATTTTCAAGAAATAGTAACTGACCTATAAATAACATTGCAGAACATGTGTTATCCGAAAATTATATTAATTTTGTATATCATTTCGATATATTATTAATTGATATAATTGGAGGAGTCATTTTCGGCTTCCTAAACGAAAAATCGCGTATATGGACGCAGATGAGATCGAACCCGGATCTACAGATCACGAGTCCATCGCACCGAGCAGCAAGCCACTCGACGACCCCAATTAGGCCGGAATCAGACTAGGCATTAAAGATTGAGATTGAAGATTGAAAGATTGAAATTTGACCAATCAAAACAATAGGAGCTAAAATTCCTTTGCCCTCATTAGTCAAATTTCAATCTTCAATCTCAATCTTCAATGCGTAGTCTGATTCCGGCCTTAAGGGTGCCACATGCGGCGTAACCTGCGTAAGCGTACCCCTGCGTATTCTAGTAATTTACTAGAATACGTTATTTTTTATTTACTAGAATACGCCATTCTGAAAGCCGGCATTCACATTGGGCGTATTTTGCGGAAGATTAGAGAAATGCGGAACTAATGCAACCAATTGCTGATTAGAATTTCTGTTGTACACTCCAACAGAAATGCTAAACAAATTTACGATTGGTTTTCGTAACCTACGCAACTCGAAAAGTACGCCTCATGGGGAACCGGTACTTTCTATCGCGTACATACAATACGCGTTTGTACAAATTTAGAAGAAGAAATAGTGAAAGGACCCAGCCACAATATCCACATTTGTGCTGAAAAGGTCCAAGCATGCAATGTGGACATAATGTATTAAAATGAAGAAAAAAGTTAGAGGAAAAGCATATTTATAAGCATGAAAAAATTAATTAACACTTAAAATGCATTTAAAACGAGATAAATATACATTATAGTCATTTGAGAAAGAGAAAGCAAACATTTTATGTAAAAGATGCAAGCAACATTCTATTGTTAGATAACTTAACCTTACAATTTTGTGAAAAATGGATTGGATATGACAGAACGCTTAGCTTTAATAATAAATTCGTTATTATTTCTTAACCTACCCTGATTTGATCTTTATCCATTTTTGGGTGCTTTGCAATTGGAAAATTTTATTATTGCAAGACTTTAATGAATGCAATATGATGCAATACAAATTTAAATAGTGTACTTAAATAAAGTTAACAAATATTACTGTTTCGGTGAAACAATTATTTTTTTATTTATGTATTTATTTCCCGGAACACGTCATTTTCGGGTCTTTCACGCACTGTGTGCACAGGACGAAAGACATGCGGGATAGAAAAATGCCGAAGAGCGCTAATTGGCTGTTCGAATCACGCATCCTCCGTCCCGCATGCTGATTCCCATATCGTGTGATTTCACCCTTACGATTTCGACTAAAATTTTTGTACGTATGATGGTCTTTACATCTACAGTTCTGGGATTTAAAATCAGCTGGTTACTCCAAATTGTCCAAAATCCAAAGGAGATAAATTACATAATTTCAATTTAACGAATATCAACCACGTTCTCACAGTGTACGTAACAATAAATATTTTTTTATAATAATGTCGAAATGTTTTCTACACTTTCATAGTTTAGGGCCAATAATTTCTTTGGACATATATTTAATCTTAGGTAGACAAAAATTAACCTCTACTATAACTGAAAACATGTAATTAGAGAAATAATTTATGATCATTGAACAGCATATATTGTTGTAAAAATTGCTACTATGAAAACCGTGCAATTAAAAACGTAATGTATTATTATTGAACGGCATAATGTTATAAAAAGTATCACATGAATGTTAGAATTTTTGTATTGACATACAACATAAAGTAAATGTTTAGGACGATTATTACTGACTGGTAAATAACAAAGAAATAATAACCAATTAGTAATTATTCTTAAAATGCATATATATTATACTAAGAAAAAATATGTTATTTATTTTCTACAGATGGGAGGTCACGATGCACATCATCATGGTCCACCATATAAAATACCCAACCATGATATTTTTAAAGTGGAAGATGTACCAGCATTGAAACGTGTTCAAGAAGAATTAGCCAAGAAAGGATTGAAGGATCCTTGGCTGAGAAATCAAGTATGGCGCTACAAAACAAGTGCATCGCCTTATATGCGCGCATTAATATGTATAACGAGAGGTTGGAGAATTGCTATACCAGCATTCCTCATAACTATCGCTGTTGAACAATATTTTGGGATCGATTACTCGGGACATGGACATCATGAGGATAAGCATGGAAATGGTCATCATTAGTGTTCACTTTAGATTAATGTGGTACAAGGAAGTAAGAAGTAGTAGAGTGTAAAGGTATCTAAATAAGCTACAAAAATAAATTATGAAAGTAATAACTATAATGTATTAGTTAATGTTTGTTTAATTAATTATTGTTTATTTTATCATGGTTACATTAGGAATCTCTTGTCCAATAATGATTTGTTGCAGAGATTTCTCTTAACGTTGCATTTAATGATCATTAAGAATAATTGAGATATGATAACCGTCGCTATACAAGCGAAAATATAAGAATTATACAATGCCAAAAAGAAGGCAAACACAGTGATTTCAAATGTCGCTAATAACCATTCGTTTCCATGAAGCACTACTTTGTTGAAGGAATAATTATTATCTGCAAAAATAAAATTATATTCATTAAAACGACAATATCTGCATTAAATTTTATCATTAAAAATCTTTATAATTTTCTAGTACCAATATAAAAAACAGATTTGTCTTTGGCATCTACAAAAAGAACATCCCATAATTTTTCTAATATGTGCTGCTCTTTGATTATATAATCTTCATTTTCCAAACAATGATCCAGAAATTGCGTTAGAAAGAGCCTAATTTTTGACCTGGTTTCAGATAATTGTTTCCAATTTCTAGGTGTGTCGCTTGCTTTTAAAATTCCCACGCTTCCCTGTGCAAAATGTATTACAAACTGTATAATAATTATTTTTAGATTGCATAGTAGTCTTACTTTAAAAAAGTATAATAATATTAAGGTTTTCTCTTTTGCAGGCATGAAAATAAATGAAGTGTTGTTAACAGTGGTGCTCTTCCACGAACAATCTCTTACATACATTATTCTTTTGCCTCATGAGTTCATCATATAACGATTTAAACGAGTAGGTCAACGATAATATAAAAGTTTGGTCGGTTGTGCCGGGTACCAGGCCTCTGTGCGCACATAAATCGTCTTCTTCCTTTCTCAAATCGTTTATCAGGGTAGGAAGATCAGTATCCGCAAATCCATGTACTGATCTATCAAAAGCAATATTATTAATTGTCTCTTTCATCTTGTAAGACACGCTTAAATTACCTTCCATGGATATAAAAGCCATAATAATTATGTGCCAATATGAACACACTGATGTTCGCGATCGAGCATAGATCTACGAACTTCTGCAGTCTGTTTCTAATGTATCTCTCGTAAAACGTAAAACGGATCAACCATTGTGAGAGATATATAAATATGTACATGAAGGTGCAAATCGCGAATTGCAGCGTAAAATTGTTCTCCGTTTCGGATGATGTATTCGAGATAATCGATTCCGGTATCGCTAACATCCACGATTCCAAATCGAATATCTAAAACGATGTAATTATTCAAATTTTATTGTGTTGTGGATGAAATTAGATTTCTTTTTTTTGTGTCAGCTGACCTGCAGGAAACATAGAGTGTAAATCGATTGCAATGCTACATTTATCCTTCTTCTGGTTTGCAATTTGCACCACTCGTTCGCGATGAAGTAGGTTCTCCAAACGCTGATTGGAAAATCATGTACATAACTGCGTTCGGTTGTCTCCTGCAAAGGCGCGATCGAACAAATGGAAGAAAAATCCGGCGTGTATTTTTCAATCGAAGAAGACTTGGACATTTCACTGGGGCTCGTGTTCTTGTTCGTCCTATGCAATCTTCTTCGCTTGGACGCGATGATGTCCGATGTTATTCTCGAAGATTTACCCTCACCCTTTGGAAATCTGTTGGAATACAATTTCTGTAAAGAAGTACGCGGAGAGTCGTACTTCGGTTGATCGTGTATCGTCCTCTGTTGTTCCCAGTCGATGAAAAACACGCTCAAATCCCAGTGCTGATAGACGAACCCTATCATTTCTGCAATCTAAATAAAAGACAAAAATGTTGGGTGCTAAATTTTATGGGTCCTGCCCTAAATAGTCGAGAGGTTCAAGTTCGAACCCTAGCTGAGATGTTTTTCTCAATAAATTCTTTGCAGTATGCTATTAGCATTGTTAAATTAATGATCAATTTAACTTGTAAATTTCATTAAGTTTTATGTAACAAATTAGAATCGTTGACATATTTCTGTTAATTAATTTTAGATAAAACATCACGTTGCTTTACTTACTTTAAAACTAAACGCTACGGTAATGTATGTTCTGATTTTTTCTTCACTATCTTCGTTGGGAAGAAGAACGTACGGTACAGTTTGGGCTTTATAAAAGACAAACAGATACACGCATGTACAGATGCACACAAATGTGATTGCATTTCCAACCACACCCATGCTGTAAATCAGGAACCACAATAAAACGGCTATACTAAGATTGCCGTTGTGATTACGTTTATAATAATTCCACGCCTTGACACTGGAAAATATTAATGCTATTCCCGTAAAAACTCCGATAGTTATCTAAAAAAAAAAATATATATATTTATATGTGTACTTAGTATTTAAAAGAAAAGTAAAACACTAATACGAATTTTTACCTGAACATCATAATCTATATCGTTATCTTTCAGAACAAATGCAACTTTGTAATTTATTATAACATCGGAATTATTAAGGAAATCTTGATATGTTAGCTCGTCGTACTCTACAATCAGAATGGGCGCGAAGATCTTGCCGTGATCTTTTCTATTCTGAACGTTTACGCTAAAAATAAAATTGACAATGATTGATCACAAAAGAATTTGTAACGAAAATTATGAGCGACTTACAAGATAGTCAAAGATTTCATATAACGAAGAACGGAAAGTTCTGATGCTTTTATGAATCTGCTGTGTATAAACATCGGTAACGCTTTGAAACCGCTTACATTGTCGACCAGAAAGAATTTTCGTACCAATTGCTGATGCGAAATTTCCTTAATATTCTACAAAGCAAGAAGATTCAATTATTATTTTATTACTGTATAAATTTTATCATTATTATTGAAATCTTACCTGATCTGGCGACTTAACAATCACAGGCAATGCGTGTATAAATGATTTATTGTCCTCTCTAAATGTTAAGTAAGGAGATAGCAATTCTACTTGTGCGTTGAGTAATTCAACAGCGGTGATTTTGCATTTTTTGCTGAAATTTACACCGAACCTTACATTTCTCAGAAATTGACAGGGTAGAGTCGGTCTACCGATGGACAAGAATTTGCCGTTCAATGCGAATCTTGCGACCGTAAAATTAAGGATGGTATTCTGAAAATATATATATATATACATTATTTCGTTTTTTCAATTGTATTCTAAAAATAAATATCAAAATCCAGCTGATAATTCAGCTGATATAATCATCTTATTATAATCATAACAACTTCTGTGATAATAATTCTCTAATTTTTCTACAATGTACCGTACATTATCCCCTTTTCTGAGACTATATCTCTCGGATATCCTCGTATCGTTCAGCACTGCCGCCGCGTCTTGTTTATTATAAAACAACCATACGGGTGCCATGGGCGTATGCATAAAAAACATGCAAGCTATACCGTCACTGTAAAGAGTCAGGGCGCATATGTTCGACAAATGCTCGCATGCCATTCTGTCTCTCTTCTGAAAGCCGTTAATCACAGAGTCTTTATGCGCTATGCAATTACTACGCATTTTAATGGCATTGTAATTACTAATTACCGCTATTATATTATACTATATTCCTTCATGTTTTTAAAGAAATCTAAGACCAGTATTCATAATCATAGTTCTTTTTCTTAAGATATCTGGAGTCGCCTTTGGATGTATTATATCTATTTTCATAATTTAATATTTATATTTTAAATAAATTATGTATACATAGGAAAGTTGTGTTTATATCCTTAATAAGTAATGTCTTAAGATATTAATGCGGCTTTATAATTGATTTATGATATATTAAGACTGTATTTAAGACGGTCTTAAATATAAGAAATTGACTATGGATACTGATCTAAGATCTTTGCACTTATCACCTTGCAAAGGTGCGTCGCGACTTGCAGTTCGCTTCTCAGATAATAACTGTCGACGTGTTCGCTGCGAAACTTCATCAGATACGTGCCTCTGATATCCGGCCAGTCGTTGACGTCGTCCTTGTGCAGACAATAATTTCTTAGTCTCACGTGTGTCGCACTCGGGCACACGCAATTAACGTGGCCGCTGTTCTCACGGCTGCCGCACGGCAAGCATTTGGAACAATCGGCAGATGGATACGTGCCCTGGATGCACGTTACGCAGAGCACAGCATCCAACAGTGCGCCATTTATATTTCGGTCCACTGCGAGCAAGAGCATAAAAAATGTATGCAATAATAGATTCCTGTATAATAAAATGAAGATCTATATAGAATATAGAATTAAATTTTTATATTTTATGTAGAATTATTATAGTTGAATAAACTACAGACATTATAATTACAATTAATAATTATAAAATAATTTATACAACTATATACATTAATTCTACATATATAAAATTTTTAATTATCAACTATATTATAGTAGTCACAACTATGTTTTTCCTCCTAGTATAGATGACGGTATCGAACGCGACATGTCAGCAAAGTGGCAAGCTAACGTCAAAGTATCAACTAAAAATATTCATTCAGATTACGTTTTACTTGATTTGAAGAGCATTTGCACGGTGCGTTCGGACTCAGGACGCAATCCTTTCCGTCAGCGGTCGCGGTCATGTTGGGGCCGCACGCGGCGCAAAGTGGATTGCCGTTCTCGAAACCGATCATTCCGCTTAACTCGTCGCACTGACATCGCAGACCTACGGGAAACACACACGTGGACAGTAGAACGGACGAAACAAATCATAAACAGCGAGCGAATAAAATCAAACCTACGGTCCACGGCCGGTACGAGATTCCGGCTGGCGTTGCATCGCGAGCAAGACAAGGAGATTGTATCGAAGTACTCATCGTATTTGCACGTATCCGGATCCCAGTACTCGAGCACTCCATTGTTCCCGTGGAATGCACTCGCGAGATTCGCGAAAATAATTGCAATCAACGTTAGGCGACGATCGTGGCCACCTCGGGCGCAATTCATATTTGTTGTGCCATCACGGCAAAGAAGTTGTCATGCCGACGAGCATCCGGCCACCCGGTACTTGTATTTTACAGCGATTCCAAAAGCCTGATTAAAATTATTTACTTTTAATAATAAAATAATTTATATTAATATTCTTTAATAATAAATTTAATTAATTAATTTTTTAATATGATTATTCTTGTTTAAAATAAAAAGAAACATATAATATTATATGACGTTATAACGTTTTACAAATTATTTGCGCTGTTCTCTAACTTTTAGAGTGAATGTCATTCTTTATGATTAAAAATTGAGTCATTTTTTTTCAAGATTTAATTTTCTTTCTTTTAAGTCTCCTTTTTTAAAAATATTTATAACAAAATCTTATATAATATTTTTAACATATTTAAAATGTTTAATAAAAATTTTGATATTCTAAATATATTTTTTAATTTAAGAAATTCTTACATATAACGCATAGATTTTATTATATCATTTTTTGTGTTAATTTAATTTTAAATAAAACGTTTTATACATTTAAATGATACTTTTTCAGTGTAACAATTTAAATAATAATTTAATATTCTATCTCTTTTCATATTTGACTTTAAAAGAATTTTACTTGTGATGCGCCAATAGCCACCTCTTAATAAATTTCTGGATCAGCCAACGAGAAAGTATTATCGCTATTATCAGAGTGTTTCAACTGCAAAGTCAATTGAACGAAACGAGATTTTGGCGAGCTTTTGAAGGAATTGGAACCACTATGCGTCGCGTCGGTTCTCCACACGTCTCCGTGGAACCACCGGGAGGCAGATAAGTAGGGATAGAACATGAACGCGAAGAGTGGGAAATAATTCGGGCGTCGCGACGACCGTGGGAGTCGCGCCGCTACTTCCGAGGAAACAGCATCCCGGGGGATAACACCTCGTGACGATCGTTTTTAGGTAAGGGCGACCCGATTTTCGCGCCGCGTCTTCATCCGTTTCTCCGCGACAAAACGACCGATCGCGATTACGACACGGTGTGTAGATCGCCGTTAGTGCGCGGGCATGGATCGTTACGAAGATCTATCCTTGGATTCCTTTTTTTATATTTCTGTGTAAATCTCGTATCACTTTTGCGCCAGGAATACGAATTTTCTTGTTATAATAATTCTTATAATAATAAAGAATTCTTAATTTCTCAGCGAATATATGAAAATTTTTTCTTTTTATCATACATCCCTATTTTGATTTTTGTGCAAGATATTTTATACCTTAATTGCGATATATTTTATTTCGAATCGCAAACTCTCTCTCTCTCTCTCTCTCTCTCTCTCTTCTTCAACAAGTTTCATCGTTTTTGAAAAGTTTTGAAAAGATTTGTTTTTTATTTTAAAACAAATAACACGACAGAGTTTCACACTTATTCGAGATTGAAATTCGAGTTTGAACCTTATAAAAATTGGTTGATGATTTCTTCGAAGTCGAAGGACATTTTTTCTACATTATATTTTCGTGTTTGAAGAGAAGTCTGAAAACGTGTAAATTCAAGGGATTTGAAAAAATATTCTCTGTACTCTCGAGAGTCGAATTTGAAGAATTGTTACTGGGAAAAAGTTTTGCAAGGGCTTTGATTAATTATACACGTATTTTATAATGTTTAATCGTGATGCAATGTGGCGAACATCATTTTCACTGTGAGCGAAATTAACATCATATGCCACTCGCGTTCCTAATCGGCGTTGGCATCGTTAATGTAGTGCTTAAGGCAAACGTCGTCTGTCATAATTGAGATTACGAAATCATAATCATACGGTTGAGCAATTAAATTAATGCGCTTATTTATTCACATATACATATGTGCTAAGCGTGCTCTTCTCTAACAGTGCATATACAACGCTCGCGAGTGCATTCAAATTAAATATGCTACTTTTCATCATCTTTACGCATTATTAATATTATCCATCTTATAAGCATTGAACATTAGTTAATTCTTTTGCAATTAAAAATGACCGCTCTACAATCTGATATTAATTTTTATTCTCAATATGAACGTCCTTATAAACGCACAGTTGCAGAAAAATAATTAATTTTTACCTAACGACGCTGTCAATCTTTTATGATACTAACTTCTAACGATAAAAATGTTTTTGCAAAGAAGCGCACCAATTAATTACTGTAATATTGTTCTTCTCGTCGTCAAAATTCAGAATAAGCCAACGGATGTTAACGTTAATTAATACATCGTTTGTGAAAACTTATTTACATATGACTTGCTAATCGTCTGCAAAATTAAACGAATATATTTTTGATTCCATAAATACCATAAATGATAACAAAATTTGACGATTACTAATGTAAAATGCGATATATTATAATGGTGTGTTCTCTAATTTAACCTAATCACATTCGTGACGCGATATCCTGTTAATATATAATATAATAATTTAATATATAAATAATTACGTAATGTAATATTAATTTAATGAAACATATAATATATAATATATAATATAATGTATAATATTTAATTGTGACGCAACGAAAAATAATAATTAATCCTCTTAATTAAGACTATTCAAGTGACATCAATTAATCCGAATGATGTGTGTATTAACTTATTATTAATGCCAGTGAGATAAAATTTAAAATATTGACAATTAAACAATTAATCACGTAATTAATTGCATTATTACGTGTCGTGAAATCGGTGGTGTCGATTGTGCGCGGCCGGGATTATTTTGTAATCGATATCGCCATTTTTAAGTGCCGTCCACCAGCTAAATTTGGCGGCCTTACGCAACGATAGAGAACGAACGTATATGCGATCTGACACTGCCGTTCTAGCTGGCTAAACATTCAATTTCGTATTATTGCAAGCCTCCTGTAGAACAAATAAATTTACACGAATCTACATTAATTCCGGAACAGACAATCGACTGTAATATATTCGTCTCAAGTGACACATCTTAAATGTGCGATTAGATCGACGAGCGAATTTTTTGTATGCGAGACTTTTCACACTAACAACTGTTTAATATTACCATTATTTCCGGAATTAGGCATTTGTTTATTACCTAACTTTGCAAATAGTTATCAAATTAACACATAAATATATCTTCATAATCGATATATTTATATCAATATTGCTTTACAGATATTGTATCTTTTAACGACGCGAAAGGAAGTATTGTGTTAATAATTAATTGGCCTGCTCCTTTAGGAAAATATTTTAAAAATTAATACCAAGAAATATTGATAATAAAATTAAGTAAAAATCAAATATTGCTCTAAAAATTTTAGACTAAAATTTTAGACTAAAATTGTGCTGTTACAAATTAAGGTAGTTTTATATTGCTACTTGATAAAGATTTACACATCACCTATAAAGAACATGTTCTATTAAGGGATTCTTTACGCATGATAAATTTTCATTCATGTGCTAAATGTTCATTTGCTGCCAAAAAATCTCGATATACATGGATATCCGATACTCTGTGCAAATTGACACGAGAGCGCAACGCAATTGCGCGATTTATTTAAATCCATCGCTCCAACGGAATTCGCTAAATAATTTGAAAATGTGGATCTAGCGAGGATCCGCTGAGTCAGAATCTAAAACAGTTGGCATTATATCCATCGTTACTCATTACCGTGCTTATACGTGGCGCGTGTGCGAGTCTAACTTATTGCTGATTCATTTCACTGCCGATTTAAGGTTCTTTATTTGATTTTTTACATAAAAATGTATTCAATTAAATTATCAGTTTAATGTATATTTTTATTATTGATATCTTTTATTTTAAATTACATTGTTAATCTTTTAATAAATCTAACAGGTAAAAAAAAACCATGATAATCTTGAAATAAACAATAATTTTCTTATGATAACAGAAATAAATACATTTTCTAAACAATTTCTAAACAATCGAAAAAATTTATAGATTATTATTTATTGAATAAATTGACACACCAAATTCACCATCAAATAGGCGTAATAATGTAAATTTAAAAATTATATGTGAAGTATATGTAATCAATAGTAATACACAAATATTATTATAAGTGCTAATCCTAAAATATTGAAATTATTATTAATTTAATATATCCAGATAGCATAACTGATCCATTTGAACTCGGAAAGTACTCATCTTAATCTTAGGTTTTATGAATTTGTGTAATTTATTTGAAATGAACTCAAAATGAATTAAAAATATAGGTATACATATAAATATATTTATATATGTAGTAAAGGTAACATATTTGTATATGTTACCTTTAATAAAAGTAATATTTAATTTGCCTAAAAACCAAAATATAATTTGTTTTTATATAAAATTAAAAAATAGAAAGAAACTAGAAAAAGAATACTTTTTGAATCCGAAAAAAGTTCACAATTGGTAACATAAAAGTGAAACTTTTTGGAATTTTCAGAAATACTTTTAGAACAGAAATTGGACGAAACAGGAATTTATTCTCGTAAGTCGAGAATGAACAAAAATTCTATTCGGACTTTCTGTGTTATCTGGCTGTGTACCTGATGAGGTATTTTTATAATTAATATTTTATAATTAATAATATTATACTAGCAAAAAATTTGTTAGTATGCTTCTATAAAATTATTAAATCCAAAAATCTTTATCTTATTATTCAATACATAGAATATAATAAACTTAATATATTGACTCGATTTAGACACACATAAGAAATCCGTTTGGGTACGTCACTTACGCGACTTTTTTGAATGAAATGAAACGTACAAATAGTGACTATGTATTGCACATAGTAAAACGCAAATGATATGTCAACGAAGGATCGAGTAATGAACCGATTCGCTCTAAATAGTCTAAATCATCTATCCAAGCGGATGCGCGCCAGACGCGTACTTGCCAATTAAGCCAAACGGACAATCTAATCGAAAGTAGCCAGCTATCATTTGTCGCGTTTTGGCACGTGCGATGTTCGATGAGAGCGTGTACTATCGAAAGGATGTACTATTCATTTCGCCGCAGTTTATTCTGAGCTGCGAATTTATTTACGCCGCGCGACATTAGACCTTTCATTCGAAACGTCACTCTTATTATTGGATATATTTATGTCGATGATCCGTAACCGCGCCAGGAAGAATTCATTTCGTTATTGTCCATGAAATGGACGGACGAATCGTCGGCTTCCAAGAAGGATTAACTCAAAACAGTTCTATTATCGCTTGACGCGTTGTCCATCGCTCTAGACGTGTCATGATGCTGAAGTGAATCGTTGAAAATCCTAACGAAATGTCAAAATTTGAAATTGACGATGAAATAATTTTTTGTTTTTAAAAATTATGTTAACCGTTTAATGAATTAAAGTTGATAATAATTAACTGGTTACTTTAGTTACATCATAAAAAGTTTGTAAATTTTGCAAAAAATTTATTAGTACTTCTTCTGTAAAATTTTGTTTCTTTATTTATCATTTTAAAGTCTTTTCTATCACAATTTAAAATTTTATATGCTTTTCCTGAAAGTAAAAAAATAATCTAAAAGATTAACAATAATTTATTCGCAGGTTTGATCACATAAAATAAAATTTGAATTTATTAAAAATTTTTGTTAAAATATCTGTAAATAAGTATCGATTAATTGTAATTAAATTTGTGATTAAATCTTTTTTGTGTAATTAATTTTCGAAACTACAAAAATTTATTCCTTACATTTAAACCTTATTAATTTTTCTGCAGATGAATTAAAGGTGAAAAGAAAACTGTTATGATTAATGATCTTGAAATAATTGTAGTGAAATCAGTAAATTTAAATATTTAAACAATCAAATATTTTAATTATATTGATTGGATAAATTATTATAACAATTAATAAGTGATTTGCAAATATACTAATCTTAACTTTGAAATGTTTGTTATTAATCCTAACTTAAAATCGATGTACTTGAAAAATTCTTATATTAATAACATTATTTAAAAAAATTTATAATATTTTCTTTTTAAAAATTTTTTAAATTAATAAGATGCATAAAACATTTAACGTGCTGATAAAATACAATCCTTTTCCCTAAATCAAATATATTTGTTATAAAATCAGAAGGTATTGATAGAATTAGGTGAAAAAAAGTAGCCTCGGTAATTTAATAGTCGACTAAAATAAATAGGTCAATGTACAGCGCTCGTTAGCCTACATACGCGATAACATGTCTTATTTAGCTCGTATATCGGTTGCAGCCTCTTCATTTAAAAATAATTACAAAACAAAAGATGTAGGCGGGTCGTTGGACATTAAGCTTAATCCAAGGCTGAGGATAACTTACGACGTTATTGAAAGTGACAAGAAGGAGATTTGAGTTATTATTCAATAAACGTCGACTTTGCGACTGTCATTTCTGCGAATACATTGGCGAACAACTTGCGTGAATAATCTTTCGTGATCTTTACATGAATAATCGATCTTAATTATACTGAAATTTATTTTTAAATCAAACATTTAAACATCTATATTTGCTATTTTTAAATACTTTAGACAGAAAAATAAGCGTTTTACAGATACAAAAGTGATCAAATTAAAAATGCAGTTCTAAAAAGGGCGACAAAAAGTTCTGATAACATGGCTTTATCTGCGAATATATCTCAAGTAAATGTATATTTCGGGTGTATAAGAAAAACTTTTTTTTAAATTCATTAATCCAACAACGATATATGCCAATGGATATATCGTTTACGATTGAGAAAATCAGTTGAATCCATCGCGAGCGGTATGTGTCACTTCGAGTGTCTAGCTTCTTTTAGAGGCCGAAAATGCGGTAATTAAGCCGCGTCTGCGATGTATACAGACGTAGAGATCGGCCCTGAGGAAAGGGAGAGTGGGCGCTCTCGGCGATTCACACGCCTCGTGTTCAGGGAGATTGCGGCCCGGGCCTCGTGCGCGCCGTGCCAGTTCAGTTCACGGGCACCAAATTAGACGCGGGTTATTTTCGACCGGTGTACAGCCGCTCGCTCCAGTTTGCTGACGATGACGAACCAAATTGCCACCAAGAGAAAGAAAGAGCGAGAGGGAGAGAGAGAGAGAGAGAGAGAGAGAGAGAGAGAGAGAAAGTGTCTACCGGACTTCTATTACTAAGCATGGTATAGTGCACCTCTTGGAAGCCACGTGGAGGACGGAGGAAGGCCAGGGGGGATCACCACGTGTCGCACGCGCGTTTGGCGAAATGATTTTCAGCATTATTAGCTTCTTCACGTGGGTGGCACACAACCGGAACGTTCGCTCATATATCTGAATTAGAGCTCCCTATTGTATTAGTGTTTTAGTTAATAATGCTATAATAGTTATATTAATGATAATAATGATTTTACTAGAACTGCCAAAGCAGCTAATTGACTGATTTATAAATTTCTAAATTTAAAAAAATTTCTAGCAACCTATTAATGACTCAATTTTGACGTAACGAGAACCAATACAGTAATTGATTCTGTAATTCTGTAATTGATTGCTGAGGAAGTCTCCAAAGAGAGTCAATCAAAAACGTTCATAATTCAAAACAAATTAATAAAACTTTTTATACTATTATTTGAGCATTACTAACCGCGCTGTACTCTCACTCTCTTAGTTTAGTTTTTAATTTCGAGAGTTCATTCAAAGTTACATTTGTAGGATTTAAAAAAATCATTTAAATTTATAACGATGACACCTTTGCTATCTGCTGTAGAAGATCTGCTGTGTAAAATTATTAATTACATTACAATTAAAGTTCCGTTTATCTGACGACACCTGAGTTGTTTTGAAAGTGTGCTGTACCTATTTTTGCCAAAGGAAATTTCAAATCTCCAGTGAAGATAGCAGTGCAGAATGTGTCTCTGATTTGCAGATAACAGGGAGAGAGGCAGCCGAATCTCGAGATGTCGAGGCCAATCCTTAGCAGGCCGCGCACGTTCATCTACGGCAGCAACTATGACAAGGGCGAGTCCTATTACAAACCCATGGTTGATCACCTAGACCGGAAGTACAGCGGACGACCATTGTTCCCGGAGCCGAGAAACTCACTAGCCGACGAGATCGCGGCGCGTCGTAGCGACATCGGTAACCTGTTCAATCGTTTTCCAAAGTGGTTTTGAAGGAGTGTTGTAAAAAGACTTTCTCTCCCAAATCCTCCTCGAGAGATTGTCGGAGCTCGCTGAATAGATTCGTTGTGCAAATGAAAAATACTTGAGAAAAACTCTTGTCCGATCCCCTTATCCTCATCCTTCTCCTAATTCCACATCCTTTACTCCAATTTCCACGACTCGCATGATCGATCTGCCTCGTGGCGAGCTGTTATCAATTGATTATTCGATCCGGCATCGCGATTCTCGATCTATAACGTGGCAGGAGGATCGCGATGCAGAGCTCGAGATTAGGATGTGAACGGGACGATCGTTGTACAGGATTTAATAAATGAGATTTTATGTTAACGAGAAGAAATGATGCGGAAAGTGTACATACGCAGAGAAATAGTACCCATAGTAAGATATTTATCTTTAAACTAGGATTTTTCCAGAGTTCTAACATGTAAAGAGTATTTATTGTTCCGCAACATCGGAAATAAATTTAGTAACGAAATAAAATAATTAAAATCTAAAATAAACTCAATAATATTTGACAATTAATTTACTAGATGTTGCTAGATATTAATTTACTAGATTGATTTACTCGTGTGAGGGAACTTATAAACTTAGATTTAGAAAAATTGTACGAAGAAGAGAAAAACGCAGCAAGAGATTCAACGAACGAATAGTCGGTTTCTTCCCGGCCTCCTCTTGAAATTGAAATTAAAGTTAGCGCTCCTGATACGCAGCGAGAATGAGGCCTTCACATTCTAACGGTTTTATTCGAATTTTAATGTCATCCTTTTGCGTGCATCGATTTTTACTGTCTTGCCTGCAACTGTGTAGTTAATCTCTGAATTATGTCTCTCCTACTTGATGTATCATTTTGCTGAATAAATTGTTTGGTTTCCTAAGTACACTTTGACTTTGCGCGGGCAGCCTTGGTGTGATTACTGTATAATATGTTGCGCTTGCTGCGACGATCATCGACGAGGATCGACGGATCGCAACGCGTCAGCTTCTCGATGGGCTTCTCATTTCGTTCGCCCTCGACTGGTCTCGATGTCGCGACAGAAACTTTTGCTTTGTTGATTCCTAGATCATAATATACGCATGCACACTCACACGTATCATCGTTTCACGTCTCACATCAACACAAATAACGCGGCGAGGCGATTTACGAAAGGTGTTGCGTGTCTTCTTGAATAATGCGTCCGCAATAAAGCTGACAGTGATTGCCCAGTTGGTGACTAGTAGATTTATACGGCCGCATAAGAATAAAACAGAGAAAGTCGAAGATGTAAAGATGTGAATTAACGACATCAATAAATTGTCGATCGCGACGAAAATAAATAAAAATAGCAATGTCTAAGCCTGCAGGATATCCCAGAAAGCGAATACGCTAGCATTCCGCTATTTGAAAAAGTTTGATTTAATCTTTCTGTAGCGAAAGTCGATTCGCAATTGCTATAATCTTTCGAATCACGTCGATAAAAGCATAATATTTTTACTTTAATTAAGATTTCTAAAAAATAAATTTGAATGTTTTAAATAATTAAAATTTTGTAATTTTAATTTTGAAATGCAATTTTGGTGTAATAACTGATTGTAGAGGAATAAAAGTATGTACTTTTAAAGTATATCTTTTCTTAATTGTGTCCGTTTATTTTTGCAAAACTTATAATTTTTTTAATTATATAGTTCTAAAGAAGATAATAAATTATAATTGAATTATAGTAATTGCAATCAATTTTTTCTCTCAGTGATAAAAATATGTGCGCTTGACAATCCTGAGATTGCGATAAATAAAATATAAACAATTAAATTCCTGACAGAAAAAAAACTTACGCGTTATAGATTCCCGCTGTATTACACTTATCTGGGACACCCTGTATGTTTCCGGCGTCGTGGATGGTGCGAAATATGAAGGATGAGAGCAAACGTTGTGCTTGACTTTAGATGCAACTGCTAGTTTATTAGGATATAGTCGCGGGCTCACCGATGGGATTTTGTAGATGTGCCAGACTGTTAATGTGATGCGCATCTGAATTTATTTTTGATCAAACGACACCAAAAATACGTGCAACCTACGATGTAAAGCTCGCTCAGCCGATACTGAGTCGTTGTAAGTAGGGAAGTACGAAATGTAACCGGCGAAACCGATCATGATTTCTCAAAATGATAATTTTAACGTAATTTTTATTTTACGTTGCATAATTTCAATTTTACTTATTTAACAACATTAAATAGATAATTATTTCATTATTCGTAATTTGTGTTCCTTTCTTCAATATTTTTTAAAAAAGGTAAATCGAATAAATCTTAATGATATTTACGTTGTTGTTGCATCTAACGTCAATTTAGATTTTTATTAGGGATCAAATTATAACCAGTGTTAAAAACGGAGTCCCTAATTTTACTTAAGAAGATTACACCAATTCAAATAATTATACCTTGATATTTATGCATAATGTGAAATATATTTTAAATAAAAACATCTCAAACGAAATATTGTTTTCTCTGAATTCTCCCTCAACGTCACTGGTTATAATTTATAACTTAAATATAATTTAAAATAGTTTAAATTTTACAAATTCTTTCATTTTTTGATATATAAATAAAGTAAATTTATATTAACAGTAACTATAAAAAATCGAGAAATGAATATTAATTACTAAATTAATTATTATTTATATTAAATATTTATGTTGATTATTTTTAAATAGTTTAATTAGTATTAATGGAATTATATAATTGAAATGCGAGCTCGTCAGATTCTCCATCTTGTTATCAATTCATCCATTCATCTCTCATCAGTCTTCCTCTTTCATCCAAAATCGTTGATGCGATTTCGATCATTCGGCGCTGCTTCTCGACGACATATCCATCATCATCGCTCATCAACTTCCACCCTTATTCGCAAAAATCAACGCTCTTTTCTGATGTCGGTTTTTGCAGGCACGCGCGACCTCTCAGGTCCCCGCACTGGCTCCCTAGGTCGTGACCTTGACCTCGACCACGACCCTCGTACCCGCGCCTCCCAACCACCGCCCTTCACTGACCCTCTACTAGCCTTCGACGATGAGGACACCGTCTACGACAGCCGTGGGCAACGCATACCGGGACGTCGCAGGCTGGGCGATGACTTCGCAGACGAAGTGACAGCAACGACACGTCGGTTTCGCGCTCGGGTGGCAGCGATGGGTCTCGAGGACGACTTCGAGGCCACGTCCAACATCGCGGGCCAGGCCAGAAGGAACGCTACCGATCTCCTGGAGAATACGGTGGCCGCCAGGAAGAGCACCAAAACGGCGATCGAAGACGTCGAAAACAGCTTCAAAAGACGCTCGAAGCTCTTCGACGAGGTCGAACGCGTCGACGAGAGCAAGCCAGCGTTCGCCAGATGGTCCAAGTTGATCAACGAGGACGACGACTTAGCACAGACCAGCGCCGCCGCCAGTCGGGCCATGCAGACGAAAGCGCGTCTCCACGATCTCGAGTCGGAGATGGAAGAACTCGCCGAGAAGCAAGCCAAAAGAGAACGCAGGGCCGCGGCCCTCAGGGCGCTGGTCAACGAGAATGCCGCTATGGCTGATGCCGATGTCGTTCAACAGTCGGCCCTCAGCAAGAAGGTGCGCATCGCCGAACGCGCAGAGAAGCACGTCAGCTTCTAAAGAATCTTGCGATCTATCTTAATTTTCATGACAGTGTTTTACAGCCATTAAGCATTACGCGCTGAAAACTTTGAAGAACATTTCAAGGAGGATCCGTTATTAATTGTTTATGTATTACATAAAAAGAATGGTTACTTCAGTGATACTTCAGTGAAACCATTCTTTCTGTGTAGCAATTATGAAAAAAAGATTATTAATCTCTGTCGACCATAGCTACTGCAGGAAAAACAACTTCTAATCATTAACATGTCAATTGTCTTGAAACATATTATTTAAATATAACTTTATTATTGGCTTAAATTTTGTCATTTCTTCAAAATAATTAAAATTATTAAATGAAATTATTAGATTAATCTGCTCATGATAAGATCGATATTGCAATTTTAAATTGCATTCTTTTAATGTTTTTAAAAAATTATTTTAATGTTTTTAAAAATGACTATAGTAATAATTAGCAATAATTTACATTTATCGTAATTTTAATTTGTTTTTGATTACAGTGTAATATAATGTTTGTAAATCGGTTTTGCTGTAAGGCACTGTTCTATTTGAATACACAAGTATATTAGAATATGTTTTCGATTTACATGCATTGTGATCGCCATTTTTTCGGCGGTCGCATATTCATATGGATATTATATCGTCGCTGATCTGTTCGTGAAACGAATATATGACGATTCCATTAACTTTAAATAGTGCTTTATTGACAGTGAATTGTCGATAAATTTTACTGGCTGTAAATAGTTAATAAATTTTATCGACAGAATCTAATATCGATGTTCATGCTCATGATATTGCGTCTACATTTATTGCGCATAATATTCTATAATTATTATAATATATCGATACTTTAATGCGAGACGTGTCTTTCGAAAATACGCTTGGTCCTTCTTTTTCAGCATAATTTTATTTCTATTTATATATTCAGGTTTTTTTTGTAAATTAACGACGCAAAATTTGACAGATATATGACTTGATTAAAATCTATATTAAAATCTATATTTAACGTACTTTCGTACGATATTTCTCGCATAATTTTTCGCTTCTCCGTTTCTCAGGTGTGATCCGAGGAAGCTTAAATGTTAATCGTTCCTAACAAATACATTACATTTTAATATTTAAAATTATTTTTGCAAAACTTGTTACATTTAAAATCATTTTTGCAAAACTTATTATAATACTACCAGCGCGATATTATAAAGAGACGCGAAGTCGCAATTTAATTGTCGAGTTTGTCTCGAAATATCGTTTCTTTCAGAAAACTATTCTCCGAATTTACTATAAATGTATATTTCTTCTTTCTTATTTATGAATAAATCTTATTTAAAAACTCTTTTCTGAAAGCATGTCAGGTGACACATGCGTACATCACATGTTTCCCCAAATCTCCTTTTTTATTCATTATACACTTTTTATTTTATTGACATTTTATGTATCTTGATGTTTTTTCCCTTCCATTTTCTGCATGCACGAGATTCCGCACTAGCTGCAGTAAGACTCTGCAGGTAAGAATCTATTTTTTATAAGGTTTAATAAAACTGACGAGTATTTATATATATATATATTTGTATATATTTTTATAAGATAATAACGATATGCTTTAGATTTAATTAAATGTATCTAATTTATTGTTAAGAACAATTTTTATTAGAAGTGGCTATATAACACGAGTAATTTTGAATGATTATAAATGCATTTTTACTTATTTTCAATTTTGTATTGCACAAAAAAATTGAATTAACATTAATATCTTACAATTAATAATAATTAACACGATTCCACTAATATTTTAGGTTCTCGTAACTTGTCGGGAAATCGTGAAGATTTCTATGACGAGTTAGACTTTTTACTCGACGGACGTGGTCGACCCATTCAGGAGAATCCTTATGAAGATGATTTTGTGATCACTCATAGACGTTTCAAGGAACGTGCGGCCGCTGCATTTGAGGAGGATTTGGCGGAATTAAGACGCAAACGGCGAGATATGCAGGTTGAGTTAAACGAAAGAATGACTAATAATTTCAAAATATTAAAAATCAAATCTGATTAAATAAAAAAAAAAGCTGAACTATTAATAAAACATATTGTAAATGATTAATTTATTATAATTTAAGTTGTAATATCAAAATTATATAAATTACAAATGCATTTCATAATTCACACATAATTCAGCCCAATAAAATTTCCGTATCACCTGTTCTTACGAATGTTTTTGTATCTGGCACTTTTTTGTTTCCTTACAGGATCGCATCTTCGATGTGATTGATCTGAACGCCGAGATAGAGAAGGCCAAGAGCACCCTGGAGGCCGCCGATATCGTGTTCCAGCGACATGCGACAAAGTTCGACAATCAGGGCGACGACGAGCAGACGACGCTGTCGCAGAAACTCGACAGAACGCGCAAGATTACAAATGTTGAGCTAGAGAAGCCGAAGCCCAAGACCTTTCTGTTGAAGTTGCCCAAGATATCGGTCGACGAGCCGGAGACTCAGCCTCCTGTCCCGGCAGGAAGACAATATAGGATCAACTCATTAATTGATACAAAAGAGATTGGTGATCCACGGGAGACTCTCGCGATGCAGCCGATGAAGCGAAGATTTTTGAAGAGAAAGAAAAGCGTCTCGTTTTAAGGTTCGAAAAGGCTTTTCTGTCCAATGATACTACGGTGTGTGCAAAATTTATTAATATACTTCAAAGATTTTTTTAATTTGGAAAACTTTTTTTCTTTCTAAATAGAATATTAGATACTTGTGTAATTAATGATTGAATTAAAATTTTGTCTCTTCAAATCTAAATTATTTGAAAATTAAAATAGAACGAAGAATATACTTTTACTATCAATTACATTTCTTAGGATTAATTCTTAAAAATAATTCTTCATTTTTAATCACTTTTTCATTTAAAAAGTACTCATATTTTTCTATAGGACAAGTTTACTTCAGATTGATAAAAAAATATATCTTAATATATTTTTTAATAGGTCTAGATTGTCTAGAATATTTGACCTTTCAACGTTATCGCAAAAACGTATCTGAAATTGCGAAAATATTTTTAATAATTAAGTTGATATAACATTTTACTTATAATTATCAATATAATTATTAATTGTGTTTGTTTATTTTTTGATGATTATTCTTCTTTTATTTCATGAAATATGTGATATTCTTTGCAAGACTATCACTTAAATATTTTAATAGAAAAATAGTTTACGCGTATTTATAATAAATATTAAGTATTAAATAACAAATCCTTTCCTTTCCTCAAAACTTCTCCACAAATAAAAATTAAATTAAATTATTAAGTACTGAATTAAATTATTAACTATTTAATAAGTTATTAAATATTGGTTAAAAAAAAACGCATGTTAAAACATGTTATAAAAATGTATGATCCATTCGAAAAGTTTCTGAACTTTTAAAATGATGTTTAAAAGTAAAAAGATATATTTTACAATACCAATCTTTAATGGTACATATGCCAAGTAAGTGTACAAACATATATCATTTTAGCTGCAATGAGCAGATATTATTGATGATTTTATCAATTCTGCCAATCACATTTGAATTACAATATTATTTATCTCACTAGTTTATATAAAACAAATCAAAATTATCTAGTCGCAAACAAGAGATACAATAGAGACAATTAGAAAGACAAATTACGTCGAAAAATAAATATTGATGAAGATCTTAAGAGATTGTGTACACGTGAACGAATATGTGAAATTTCACTTGTCTTTTGACTGCTTTTAACAGCGGTCTGCGGATTCACAGAATCTTCTGGTATTTCAGACTATAGTAAGCACGAGTATGATAACTGTAGTGTCTGGATGTGAGTCTCATATTAGTGATGTACTTCATGTCGGCCGATCGCTTAAAGCTCTTGTCTGTATTCTTTTGATCGTAGGTCCTCATAGCTCTTTCTGCCCACTCCTGAGCTCTGGGCGGCTCGCGGTATATACCCTTCTGTCTCGAATTAAGATAATCGATCACGTCCTCGTAATAGTTCTTCCTATTAGAAAGAAAAGATCATTCCGAGATTGAGATTACAAACAATCTTTGTCCGTTATCGTGAGTTCAATATTTTATAACGTAATTTCACAGTTATAAATTTATAATTCTTTGTTATATATATATATTTATATGTATGAAAAATTTGTATTAAATTTGACACATTTCACGTGTCTCAAATGAGTCATTCAAATTTATGTGTTTATTTAATACAAAATGAATATGTTAGAAGATAAAGATTATTTAAGAAAATAAACACAAAAATAATACTGACACAGTTTGTAAACAAAGCATGGAGAGAGAGAAGCATATTTTTTCCAAGATTGGAAAATTAACATTTATGATATGTTAAATCAAAATATATTTTATTCAGTCATCTTAAAATTTACGTTTTAAAACACATAATTTTTGTTTTTTTTATGTTATTTATTCACCTATTTAGATAGTCTTCTGTTCTCTCAAGATATTTAAAATAAAAAAAAAATTATTTAAACTAAGTTCGATTTGAGCTATTTTGGCGAACAAAAAAATTTCTTTTGCGAAAGATTGCACGCCATTTTTTTATGATGTGATTAATATTTTATATCAATTTCTATATTTTTTATACAATTGTATTAATCATGCTATTAAAAAGTCTTAATATGTATCTTCGTATCTTACCTGTAATCGTAGAGATACGCGTAATTAAGAAACAGTGGTCGAACCCAGTGATGATTGTAATGTGGCGGCTCAAGCTTTAATAATTTCAAGACAGGTTTCTCAGCAGCAGCTGCCTCGGTAGGCGCACCTTCCGCTGCACCCTCGGGACCCGCTGCCGGAGCAGGTTCCTCAACATCCCACGGTGCAGCTTCTTCCTCCCACATTGTAATCTCGTTATATATAATATGTATTCACTTCGATAATGAACCTACAAACAATTACGTGTTGTGCCATTATTAATTTTAAACACTAAAGGATCAAATTTAAATCAATTTTTTGAATTAAAAATAACATTTTGTTATTTTTAATTTTCATGTGTATTGAAATATATTATTTTAATATAAAACAATGATTAAAGGAATAGTCATCTAATCAATCTATTTTTATGCTGGTTGAATTATTTATAATTAGTTTCGAAATAAATTAATATATATACTTAGTACATAATAAACTATATTTGAATCAAATTTAATACATTTCTTCAGTTAAAGTGTTTAACTCTATTGTTCTATAATTAATTAAATTAACAACATATTCAGTAGAGACGACCTATAGGAATGATTAAAAATGACTTAACTTGAATATAAATTTGATATTGCAAATTTAAATTGGCTTGATAAATAATTAAAAAGTATTCCTTCATTTATCTGTTTCATATGTATTTTCTTTTTAATTTATTTTTCGCGACGCTTCCAGTTTCTACTACTTTCTTAAATCGCGACAGCCTAATCAAACGTTAATTTAATTTTCGATAGGATTTATTTAGCCGATTGAGTATATACATCGTATGAAGAAACAGGTCATCACAAGACACAACAAACCACTTGGCTGAGGTATCAATTGACTTGATGTATTTGTAGCGAAACCAAATGCCATACCGATCTTCAAGCTTGTGCTCAAACTTCTTGATTATATAAAATATCCTTTCAATTATACTGTGTATCAAGAAAAATAGGACACGTGTGAAATAATCACGATTTGTAAAGTAATATTTATAACATCGTTTTTATTGCATGGGATCATAATTTCTTTTAGCAGATATAAAAGATTATAAACGACCAACACTGGTTAAATTTGTGATGTCAAATTATACACAATTTTAGTGTCATTTTTAATCATTCCTATAGGAGATCATTACTCCTATTTAATATGTCATTAATTTAACTAAAACAATAAAATTAAATAATTCAATTCACACAGAAGATATATTAAATTAACTTAAAGATTGATCATCTATTTTTGATCACCTATATTTATTAAATATATACGTTAAATGGATATTGTTTTGAAATTAAACAATTCAACACTATAAGTGGATTGATTAGACATGGCTGTGGCTTTTTAATCACATGGTTTGTCAAAATAATACATTTTGACACATGAAAGTAAAAACTACTTAACGTTATTTAACTCAAAGAATTAGTTTAACTACAATATTTGACAATGAATGACGTAAAGACAAAAATCTCTTGTTCAAAGCAGACAATCTGTAAAAAATCTAGACATGTCGATATTATTGATTTCACTACACAGATGATTCTGTAAAAGCACAAATAATGAAAAGCAATCTCTCTTCACTGAGGAAACTATTGTTCACTGTTTTCCATCGATGACGCAGCCTCCGAGGGCGCGATGCAGTACCTTCTTTGGTTTCGCACTCGCGCGTACTGCAAAAAAAATGCTCGGCCCTTCTATACGCCGCGGGTTTGTCTCGTCACTCCCCGTGGACCCTGTCTTGTTTCGCTTTTATTTTAGCAACATCTTCTACACCCCGCTCGTCCCTTCGAAGGTGCGCTCTTGCTGCGGCGAGGAGGGGATGATTTGGCACTCGATCGGTGACGATTAATTAGCGTTGCGACAATTTCTTTCTCTATCTCTCTCTTTTTCATCTCGTGTATATGTATTATATATGTATTATACGTACCCAGACAGCACACAATATTTATAAAATATAATATTTACAAAATATTTATAAATATTTATAAGATTTATTTTAAATATTTTGTAAACATATTTTTGTGGTCTCTTAGATTGCACAGATCACATAAACATTTATTTTAAATATTATGAAATATTTATTGTAAATGTTTATAGTAAATGCTATGAAGATACTTAATGAGACATTATAATCCAAGTAAAAAATACTTATTAGAAACATTTATATTATCATAAATATTTATCATAAATATAACATAAAATATTTAAGGGAGACCGGGGACAAAAGTAACATTTTGACTTTGAAGTGTTATAACAGTTAAAATATGATACTTACATTAAAAAATATGTATCTTTAGATAAGAATTTATTTAGATAGAAAATTTTCTTTGGTTTAATTATTTTATGTAATTATGTAGAAAAAAAGTTATGTTTGTTTAAAGACTACGAGGAATTTTGTTACAACCTATATAATCGTTACTATCGTCCCAATCCCCAGGGACGATAGTAACGATTATAACAATAGAGGAGGATAATTGTACCACATTTGCTAGAGGTACGTAACACAACAACATAAATCATACTCTTTCTTGCAGCTGCATAAATGGATATCTGGTCCTTTATAACT